TAATCGGAGGTTACAATATTTGGTTTGTTTACAATATTTGGTAATTTGTCCACACGGTTTAAGTGTTTGACAATTGACATTTGAAATAAATGAGATATTAACTTTAAAACATTGCATTCACTGTTTTACTTGGCCAAACAAACTATTAAAATTACCACACAAGTAGTTAAACCTACTTGTTATGTCAGTAGTTAAACCTACTTGTTATTAGAATGGGTAATAACCCACAAGTACCCCTTCGTACCCCTATGAACCAAGCATAGTGCATGCGAGAGGAAGCCTATGGGATAATGGCTAGTAGGCTGGCCAAATATATAACTTTTTATTGGTAGAGTATTGCAAAGTTATTTCATTACAACTACTCAAATACCTCCTACAACCCATCACTATATTAGTACTATATTCAGAACAATTAATAAATTTGGTTGTGAATTACCTGCAAAGCATTGCAGTTGAAATTTGGTTGTGGATTACCTGCGAAGCATTGCAGCTGCCACATGATGCTACCACATGATTCGTCATGAAAATGTTGGCACCATGGTCCTACCCAGTGCACTTGTGGAGGTCCGCCATTTTGAATGTTATCAGGGGGTGAATGCCTCTTAGCGCACTGGCTAGTACTGATGTTGAGATGCGATTGGTAACCAGGCCTTCATGTCAAACATAAGGTAATCAAGGCACCAACTTTTTCGCAAGTTTGCAATGCAAATGCACGTACGGCAGCAATTTCACTAACTTTTTGTTATACTAGTATATATATAACTACCTCTGAACAGGTGTCTTAGGGCTGTTTACATGATAGAAGGTGGGATGATTTTTGTTGTATTGGAATAAGTCACTAGGCTAAACTAAAGCTTAATTGCTGTTAACAGGACTAAATATTGTAGAGAAGATCTTGTAGTTCAAAAAGATTATTATTGCTGCTTGAACTACCTTTTATTTGCAGTTTATAATCTATGTGTATTTCTAGAAAATGTTTTTTGCTGAATTGTGCACTGTGACTCATTTCAATACATTGAAATCATCCTGCCTCATACCTCGTCCTGGCAAAGTGGATCGTATAAACAGCCCATTATTCAGCAAATTGCGCATGGTGCCATCTCTTGGGGGTGAGGCAGCACTTTCCTTGCGATAGTAACTTCTAGTATATTATATAGCTAGCAAACTTTACTCTCTAGAGGCCTGTACACAGTACGTATGAAAAGTGACATGAATACATGCCTTGTCTCAACTTGCTGCCCACAACAATACTGTGAAGTTTCCATGGAAACATCGCACTAAAAACCAGGTGTTACCTTGCCCCCATGCATCTGGGGCCAGTTGTTTGAAAGCCGGTTAGCTTTACAATCCTAGGTTAGGAGTAAAGTTACAACAAATTTCACAACAGCTTGTTTATACACAGCTTGTTTATACGTGACGCGCTTCGTAAATGATCAAATTTCTACCTTCTTGTCTAAAGAAGTCTAGACAAACATTTCATGAAGTTCTTAGCACCACATATAATATTGAAAAGTGAAAGTACAACGTGTATTGTTCAAAGCACCACGTATAATGCTAAAATAACCGCGTATAATGTTCAAGCGACGTATAAAGTTAATCGTATACGACGTATAATGTTCCTATAGCACCGCATAGAATCAGAAAAGCACCGACTCAAATATCTTTTAATCACTCAGGACAGCCATGGCTTTGCATACCTTCATCTATATCAACATAAACATGTTGGCCTGAGCCGATAAAAAGTTATTTTTGAAATGAAAGAAAACACTTTATGAAGATGTCATAACTATGAATTTTTACCTTTCTTGTACCATTTAATACATAAATCGAATAGCAACGACGGGTAAAAGAAAACAGCAGTCACATGCCAAGATAATATAAGCATTCTAAGCTCTTTATCAAAAGCTTCATAGGTGTGAATGAGTTGATATCATTTTGCAGACTGTGTATGCAGCTCAGGCCGAAATGTTTGATGTTGATATAGATCAAATGTATAGATATAGGGGGGGGGGGGGGGGGGGGA